TAACCAGTGAGCGAGACTGCATTTTCTTTCTCTCTCGATACATCAAGGCTTTTCTTTCTTGTGCGCGAGCTAAACGTACACTCGATTTACGAGATGAGTGCTGCTACTGTACCTAGTAGTCAAGAAGATGGGGAAATAAAGTTCATGCAACTTTTAAAATATTGCTTTTGCAGTATTATAAACATTTTTTCATTTCGCTAATAACTCTAAAAACGCATCTGAATGTCAACAAAGACAAGTAAATAAATTCTTTTATCCAGCGCTCATTACTGCTTTATACTCACGGTGATATTCGGTATAAAGGCTGAAAATCGATCAAACACGCAAGCGCGACTATAAGCGATCGCATCCGCGCGTCGAATGCAAACAAGCCGTGATGACTAGTATGTAGAATCGCTTTTACTTGGAAGACCAGTGGAGCGAATAGGGATGATAAGGGCACCAGGGCTCGTTTTTTCTTCTTTTTTTAACTGCCGAGAAAGATTTTCTTCCGTCTTCCACCCACCTCCTCGCAATTTATTCCGATATTTAGAGCGAAAATTAGCTGCGGGCTCCCGCTGCTGACGCCTACTCTTTTATATTCTTTCCTACATCTAGCAAAGTCAGAAGCAGCGCCATCGCTGAGCTCGAGAGTGAGAGAGAAAAAAAGGAATTCAATTGAGAGTTCTCAAAAGAGCACCAGAGAGAAACCTTTTGTCTTCTTCGCCTTTCAGTGAGAGATCGGCTGCTCTCTCTCTCTCTCTCTCTCTCTCTCTCTCTCTCTCTCTCTCTCTCTCTCTCTCTCTCTCTACCTACCTACCTATCTATCTCATGCTCTTTTGTGATATGTGAGATTTAGATTCTTGACGTTTTCAATGTTACGTTGTTGTAAATACCCCTTTATCTATCAATTTTTATTCCAATTAAGTAATAGAAATAATATTAGGTTTCTTGTAAAACGAATTGTAAAAGGATCAAAGAAAGATAAAAAAATTCCAAATAAATTTGAATTTTCAAGTTGTTAAGCTTTTAGAAAACCCTAAAAATATCTAATAATTGATGAAACGCATCGCTTTAATGATAAATATCAAAAGACTTACAATTTTTCCTAGTTGTAGATTTAACTGAATTTTAGAAAATACAGACTTCTAACTTCATCCTACGAAATGAAATTGTCCTTCTTGTTCAACATTTTCATAATTATAATTTTCAATTATCTTTTTATTTTCTTATGATAGTTTGAAGGAGTGAGAAAATAGAAAAAAGGTATTTGCCGTATTGAGATGATTGCAGTAGAGTCATTGTTAGTAAATCCATAGAGATTCTTTGACCCAAATTGGAAGAGCTTAAAATCGGAATAAACAGAAGTGTTGGTTTGATTGTTAGTTACCATTTTTATAATTATGTACAGCAAATGGAATTTGAAAGCAACGAGCTATTCGTTACATCTCCGTGTCAGTTACAGTGGAACGTTAGTAAAAAATTATTGCAATCAAACAAGTTTTTTCATTTCACTCGTACACTTCAAAGTTTTAATTAAATGGAAGTTGAGAATGTAAAATTCAAGTTGGAAAAAATGAGAGTGCTTGGAAGAAAGAACCAATGTTTTTCCATGCAAATAAAGATTTAGATGGTCGACAAAGAAAACGATCTTGTACAACGTGCCTAAGTGCTTTGAAAAGTACAACAGTAGAGTTGGAGGTTTTGATTGTACTGAAGTTAAAATCGAAAGATTAAGTTGCTTAGAATACAAGATTTGCACTTACTCTTATTATAAGGAATTGAACACTAATAAAATAATGATCTGCATCTGGTGCCCCTTTGGGTTTATTTCTTATAATAGTTCTGCTTGTGATGGTCATACTTTAGATTAATAAATTTTCAATTAATCAGATATAGAGTTAAAAAGAAAAAAAGATGTTTCAATTGAGTGAGCATGCTATAATTGCTATGCAACGCGAGGCTTTTGATAGAACAGAATTTGTTTTATAGTTAGTTGGTGCTCGTCATAGAAAGCTCACGCTCCATTTTCCAGTTCTCTTGTTTATTATTCACATAAAATGTTTACTAACACAACAGTTCCTAACAGAGACAATTTCACGGTCGACAAAGGATTTTTAATTTGAAGGATTTTCAATAGTTGAAATAAAATTCATTAGACCACCTTTTTTTAAATAGAAGATTGATATATGATGAAAGTCATGAAACAGCTGATAGTGCTGCAACACGATTACACGTAAAACGGATTATTCAAAGATTAAAAGTTTAGTCTGCAAAAATATCCACTTTTAGTATCTATGATAAGACGTTACATTAAATGTCAATGTCACAGTTCAATAATTGAATAAAAAAAAGAATCATGCTACATAAAAACTATAAAAGTTGAAATAAATGTAATGAAAAGAATACAAATTGTCAGTGTATATGTGTACTAGTATTTTTATGCTATGCTACGAAATGAGGTAACAGTATTTTAAATCACAAAGAGTGGAGATGTGACAATATACTCTATATGAATTTTTCATCTAGTAAAACTTCTGTTACGCATGTTGTATCATTGACTGAAATATAAACTACAAAATGACACTTTTAAATTCATAATTGCCACGGCTAGCTGCACCTGTCTATAAAATTTATGCTTGCATTTGTAAACCAATTCTCTTGATGTAGCTATTTCAAAATAAATTTCATTTGTTTCATTGTGAAGTTGTTATTTTTGACCATCCTAGGGACTTTTTATTTCAATAAGGCCTTCAACTTCTGATACAATCTCCTCCAGACTTAAACTTAATCAGAGAGCCTGAGAATTAATAAATATAATCCTGACCGTGCTATATTTTGCATAGCATAGTTAGGATGCATTTATGTACTCTTTTGGCTATCGTTTCACAGATGACTCTATTATACTTCAAAAATACTATAAAATATGTTTTCTATTTTAATTTTCCAAGCTATATTTATATTAATATAAGTAAACAATTCATAGCAGATGCTATATGTAATTGTATAGAAGTTTAAAACAAATAAGTAGAATTTTTCTTAGTTATTTCAATGTTGGATTTATAAAATTGTTTGCACTGTTCTGAAACTTGAATTATGGAAAAGTAACTTTACTTAAAAGTTTAAAAGTAGATGTATAATAATAATTAAGTGATGTGCAAACTGATTATTATAATGAGTATTTTCTAGTGAGTTCTGCAATTAGAATTTCGACTCTATGACTTGTGTATAGATGCCACAGTATGCTCATGTACTATAAATTAATGTGTAAACTTTTATCAAGCTCATGCTCAATGTAAAATACCTAAATGTATTATTTAATAAACCTTCTAAAAGTAGTAATGATGACTTTATTAGCTGTTTTTATTTTATTATTATAATAATAAAGAATTGTTATTTTAGTCACTTTATCATGCTGCTCTTAATGCTTTTAATTTACCTCATTCTTGCTTCCAGTCAGTGCAACTCAAATATTCTTAATATTCTAAAAACTGTTCCAATATGCTTTAATAAACCTTAATCGAGTCACTAACTCTACTTTATGCCTATACACTTTCATTGAAATATCGAAACTTTCACATGTGCGTTCGAAAATTGAATCAAAGTACACAAGAACTTGTCTCCCACAAACGTACACACATGCACACGCGCGCGCGCGCGCCCACGTGTGTGCCTGGAAGTAGCTTTCGGCTTGGATTGCGGCTTGTCTGTCGTTGGCAAAGACGCTTCGCGACAACTACCTTAACCAAAACTTCATCAAGCCGCAATTATAATCGCGTTTAAATCGCAGCCTTATCGCGGCAGACGCCAGCATAGCGGTCCTTTCCGCAAATATATATAACTATACGACAGTGTCAGCATCGTTGAAGCCTTTCTTGCGTGATTCATTTTGTGTCAATTTTCAAATTATCGAGCAGCATACTGACGGTAATGATAAAGTGATGTCATGTCATTTATCTGAAGTTACACTTTACGCAGATGAACTTTACAACATTTTTTTATCTTCCTCTGTTTCAGTTGCTATATATAAAAATAATGGGCTAATTTGGTAAAAATTTGCTGTACAAAGTTCAGTGATTTTACAAAAATTAAAAAATGTAACTGTTGGATTACTTCGAAAGATTCAATATTGTAGTTGTACGCGTGCAAAGCAAGATAAAGTGAAATACAAAAGCACGCGCAGATAGAGATAGCTAAACAATAGAGAGAAGCTTGCAATAATGCAGGCGCACTTGGTAAGAGAACTTTTAATGAGATTTTCTTGTTTAATTACGATAATAAGTGTGAGTATTTTATTTATTAATCGATACTCAGCTGCTACATGCAATTCTCTATTCAACTAATTCTATCCTTATAACGCTTACGTTACATTCAAGCGAATATCATCCAAAATTCAACTTCAAATTATTAAAGACAATGCTCATCCGATAATTAAGTGACTTCCAAGAAAACTTAAGGTAGAAATGGATAAGACGCGATCCTCTCTTTTATCGACATGGTATTAACGAGACCCTAACAAGTATGATAATCACGGATGCGAGAATGTGCGGCAAAGTTAGCAAACTGGACTGGATTAATTGGTTTATGGCCTTGAGCCCAAAGTCCGGCTACATATACAATCGTGTAAGATATGAATATTCGCTAATGTGATTCATATTTTTTTCTCGACGTGGTATAAATTTCCATGAACTGAAGCTTGTTAAATTACAACATTACAAATTTTACGATGAATTTATTATTTGGTCTTTTATAACAATTTTAACAAACATTTGTCTGAGAACAAGAAAAAACAGTTGGCAATAAAAAAGCGTACGAAAGTAAGTTTTTTCCTATAACGCAGTATTAAGTATTTCAATAAATTGCACATGACTCTAATAAATTCTTTTATACAGATCGAACGTAAACAGTAGACGTTATAGATCAGAAAGCATAGCACGTGGAATAAAGATTCGTCAGAGCATGCGCGAGTAGGAGTGGCAAGGACGCCGTCAAAGTTACTCAGCGGTCAGTCTCGCGGCAGCGTGCGAGTCGAACGCACTATTGGTTACATCTTACATCGTTATATTGCATCGAAGTTCTGACTTTGGATGAAAATTAATCTCGAAATGTGGTGCTAAAAAGTAAGCGTGATCTGTGCCCATCATCAATGGGAACCCAACTTTTGAAAATGACAATCTCGCGAACAAAATATTGAGTGACAGAAAGAAATATACTAAGAAGTATTGTTGAGAATGATGGAGAATTTAAAAACGAGTAGAAGTGAAGTTTTTCCAGCGGACAGCTGGCCGACCGTAATGCGACTCTTACTACTCGTCGCTGCGCTGACGACAGGTGAACCTTTTTCTATGTTCTTTATTCTTTAATCGAGTTCACTTTATAAAAAAGTTATATTCAGTGGATCAAATTTTAAACATCTTTATGATCTGTTATTGTAACTTTATGCTTTAATGACATTTCGTTTTCAATTAAAACTATTGTTATTTCAATTGACTATATGTAAAATTACTTTTTAACTATAAAAGGAATGAATCAATGTAATAACATCTCAATAATATTAAATAACAGATTTTTACTTAAATTTTTTTGTGAATTTAATGAAGTATAAAATAAACCTACTTTATCGAGGAGGTCGAGTAATAATTCCTCTATGAGAAAGCTGGAAATCGATCAAAAAGTAAAGCATTTCATGCTGAATAAGTTGTAGGTAGCATAGCGTGAGCGACATTTTCATTTATAAAATGTTACTCGTCAAACTGTTGCCCTTATCGCCAGTAAGAGGCTTTTTTTATAAAGCGCACTGTACCAATGGAAGCTTATACATATCTGTAAAATGCCGATGAACATTTACTTGAAAAACTGGCGAAAGCGCGCGCGAAGAATTAAATATTTATTAGACCGCTTTTTATTCTCCTATTAACCACATTATACTCAAGTTTTATGCGTTCGAGTAAATATCACGAGTTGATCGTCTTGAAAGAAATTTCTCATTTGAACGCGTGAAACGAAAGTTATCCCATTTGAAAGTCCTGTGCCGAAACTTCAATCAGCCAAATGTCGAAGTTAGGCAGCCAAACGAGAGGTACTTTAACGAACAAAGCACAACTCGCGGGCAAAATGTATGAATAACGCATAGATGTCGGTAGTAGAGAACAAAAGGATAATTGCAGGCAGAAGAAAAAAAGATGAAAGAAAGAGCGAGGAACGATGGATAAAAGAGAGTCCGTACTGCGAGAGATATAAAGGAGTGAGATGGTATAGTCAAACAGACGTACACGCACAGGTAGGCCGTGAATTATGCAAATGGTGGCCAATTCGATTCAAGTGCACCGCAAATAACCCGCTCTTTTGCCCAGTGGACTAAATGCAAGAGCGCAGCCTCCCCGGCCCTTCGCCTTCTCTCTCGCGCTTATACACAGCCGATCCATTAGAGTTTCGCATTCGCGTTCGCGGGACTTTAACATTTCCTTTTTATTTTTTTCCGAGCTTCGTTAATTCGATCGTAAGCAACCAGACAGTAGTACCAGCTCAAATTCCATTTTTATCAAATGAAATTTATCATTTCTGTTGTGATTGTCGGAAACCAATGTCAGTTTTTACAATTGGCGCAACAAGAGATCGATGAAACAGTATACAGTAGCTTGCAGATACAGTGAATTATAACTAACAGAGATAAGAGTCAAGGTCCATACATCCATCTGTTAGAAAGCATATACGTTGACAGTGTTTGCAGTTTCATCACACTCGATAGTTTGCGCTTGGGCTCGCTAGGCATATACGGAATAAAAATTGCCTTTTTGTTTGTTATCCTCGCCGACAGCGATGCGCGCAGATAAATAAGTGCCGTATGTTGTATCGCACACTTGTCGCGTACCAAACCAAAACTTTTATTTTTCGAGGTGAAAATTCGTAGTGTTGCCGTGTTGCATGTTCTTCGTGAAGAATGTTGTTTTTTCGTCAAAAGTTCATTTAGTAACGTCAATCGGCATAAACGTTACACGGTTGTATGCGTTTACATTCTAAACTATTTGTGAAAATTCATTGTACGCTCGTCACGGTATCACGACAAATGGAAAATATTCATTTGAGCGTTGATACGACTGCAAGTTTCCGCTGCTCAACGCAACAAAGTCGCTGCTTATAGGTATATGTTGCTGGAAGAAAATAAAACTGAGCCGGCAAAAATTTTCGTGCGCCGAGTGATGCTCGAGGGAATTTCATTCGCTACGAGGACTTGTGCGGATGTTTATTGTTCCAGTATATTTTTCTGTTTTTTAGGATTCCAAAATAAATTTCACGAGTATGAGTTTCATGCACCACTGTGTTTTCTTCTCTGTTATTATTATTATTTTTTTTCTCTTTTTTGCTAGCAAATAGACACTTTATTATTTTATACGAGTAGATTGGTTATTCGTTAATCTTCAACAATTTCAATGATAGCTCTTATAACTTTGAAGTGAACTCATATGATGTATCACATGGTATGAAAATGTAGATTCAGGTTATAGAGAAATCCGTAAAATTTGAAAAAACCATATCAATCTTGGTTGCCATAACGACATATTAAAAACAAGTAGTGATACCCTTGGCTGCAAGGTCAGCGGATGAATCTCACTTTAAATCCATCGACAATATACGTTACACTAATACATTGCTTGTTTCGCTCCAGCAATGACACTTTTTCGTCGATTTATTTTCCAATTTCGTTTTATCTGTGGCTCCATTTGAAATACAATTAATCCTCTTTGCCAAGTGCTGTCTGTGCAAGGATAACGGAAGAAGTCGCAGGGAAGTTGAATATGCAAATCGGACAGCTCGATAAATTTCGGTTTCCTCATCTGCTAAGCTGTTTTGATATCTTTCTTCTTTTCTCCTTTCGATATCCTTTGTAATTCACAATCATCCCGTATTTCTTCCTGGTGTTTTACATAAAACTAAAGATATCAAATAAAGCTTCAATTTTTTTTTCCTTTCACATCGAATAGAAAGACAAGCTTTGGATTGTTTATTGATTAACGAACAAGAAAGAAAGCCGCATTTCGCAACTCAAAGCACTCAAGTGTAGGCCGTGCACTTGTTCTTTTGAGTATGTACAAACATACCTTTAGTCGCGCGCAACCACTTGTCCTTGCACGTACAATCTGCGCATTCAGAGAGCTCTTCAGTCGCATGAATGATCCTTGCGTTACAGCTGTCAATCAAAGCAGCAACGGTCTAGTAAGTGCCTGTGGGCTAAGTCTGTAACCATGCGCCTCAATTAATAAGATATATACTAAAATTTTAGTTTCGGTTGATAAATAGAAACGTGTCATATGCGTATATAAGCTACAAATCGGATACTTTCATTATACCGTGTGGTTATAATCATTGTGGGGAACATGAATCGTTTATGGGAGATGCAATTAAGTGTTGTAAATCTGCCGTATTTTTCTATAACTTTTTTCCTTATAATTATTAGGTAGCTACAGTGTGTGCTTCATCAAACACAGATATAGTATGTAAAGTACAACTGAATCGAAAATTAGAAACATGCTAGTTAAACTCTTACAACGTTAGACAAGAAAAACGGAATCAATTTAATAGTACACTGGTCTGTTGAGCTATAATACATATGACAAGTATCATTCCGCTCGTAAAAAAGGAATATAAAGGAAAATTAAATAATAGGTCAATACAGCCAGAGAGAAACAACGGGAAGTGTGAGCGAATGACGCAAAGGAGAGAGTAAAAAAGCGGACGTAAATAATAAGTATCTTTGTGCTTATCAAGATGGCATGTAAAATGGAGAGTTTTATTTATGACGCGTTAATGAAAGTAAAGTGGATGCGAATATGCCTTATATGACAATTGTATGTTTGGAAAAGACTGGCCAAATAAATTTGTTTTCTCCAACGACTGACGAGGCAGGTCCGCATTGGAGTCACCCCCCCCCTCCTCTCGCTCTTTTCATTCTCATAATGACTGATTGATTGACTACATCTAGTTATATAAAGGCAAAAAGACGTTTTTAATCAGTTTCGACTCTATCGCTTCAATAATTGAACAATCAATACCAATCTTATAGACGCGTAATGCAAACGAGAAGCTTACTATTAAGTCGTACTTATAGCATAGGTGCTAAGCTCAGTTTAATGGCTTTTCTCGAGAAATCCATGCTGGCAGCGCGCAATTAAACCGGAAGCAATTTTTTAAGCTCTTAAGCTGAAGTAACGTTCCTGTCCAGGACGCATTTGTCTTACTGTACGCTCGCGATGACTCAGTGGAATTGTGCCCACCAATTATCGTAAAAAATGGCTTTAGCACTTGGAGCCTTCCTGATCGAAAATAAACAATTCACTACATTTCTATATAACAGCGGGCTCACTTTATATCGATTGATACATTATATCAAAGCGCTTTCTGAGCAAGCTCTTACATACTTCATGGCACACTGAAATACAATGCAGTACCAAATTGACAGCTGCGCGCACATCGAACAAGTGGCTCGTTTGTCACGAGCGTATGCAGCCTCACACTTTCACGCGGCATTCGGCGTTGCTGCTGTTGCTTTTGCTCAACTGTCATAATTGTCTGAGCAACGGCGACGCTACAGCAATATGCGTTTCGTTGTGTCTATATATTCGCTAAGCAAAGAAGAGACGAATATTTCGTACAATTAACTTCAATTGGATGTCAGGATGGCGCCTTGTCACCATTAAAGACGCTTGACGTCGTTTTTTTGGCTTTAAATTCTGTTAGTGGTTTACTAATTCTCAGAATTGAAGATGCTGATAAAAAGTATACAATAATAGTAATTTTTTGGAAAAGGCGTATCTTAGAAAGAGCCATAATTAAGCATCATTGAGCTTTTTTATGATTTTTAATGTTGTGAAATGATTGAAAAATACTTCGATGAACAATCGAGACAAATTCTTTTACTAGATCATTCATAGACTGATTTACAACACAATCACCGTGACAATGAGAAAAAAACAAAAAAACCGCCTTGCCACGAAAAAGTCAAACAGAAGCTTTGAAAATTCAGTCCACAGCCATATACACACATGCGGCGAGCTGATAATTGCCACGACGCAGGCCAAGTGGAGGTAAGGGGGTTGGTCGTTAATCGAATGGGTATACTCTCAATTAGCCGGCCACGGCGCGTTGTTTGCCGTTCCACGCGCGCGCTCAGCCTGCTACACGCTAAATAAATGATTCGCAACGCGGTAGTAGCGTGTAGCACGTGCAGCGTCGCGTCGTTACAGCAGCAGCCGGTTGTTTGCTTCCGCTGTAATAACACGTTGCGTTACGTATACATATATAGGCATGCAGCGCAGCGAGTTTCCGGGACTTGCACGACAATCGCCCGCAGGAATAATATTTGATGGATGAGTTTGCACGTGGCAATCGTTTACGTACGGTTATACATTGATATGCGTTTTTGCTTTACGAGTGGATATTTGTACAACTTTCATATCGACAGCAAGCATAGATATGTAATTTCAGGTAATCCATTCCATTTTTCAATCGCTGTGTTTACTGTTTGCGTAGCGAAACCCTGAAAAAGCAGATGCGTACATTAACGGGATAGCTTCCAAAGTGAAAACTGCAATAGTTGTTGTAGAAAGAGGGTCACTTGTAAAAAGAAAGCGAGAAAAAAATCAATAGCGAGAAAGAATAGATGGAATATTTCCAGAAAACTTATAAAGAACGATTTTAAAAATAAAATCTTGAAATATTTTCATGTTACAGTAAACGCAAGATCGGATAAGCTACAAAATGATCAACACCAGCAGCAGCAGCAGCAGCAGCAGCAGCAGCAGCAGCAGCAGCAGCAGCAGCAGCAGCAGCAGCAAATTGTAAAAAAACTCGTGGCACCGGCAATCATAGATCCACGCAGCGAAAAGCTCGTGCTAAGCTGCGAATACGACTTGCGTGGCAAGGAGCTCTATTCGGTCAACTGGTACAAATACGATAAGACGTTATTCAGGTATATGCCCAGCATGAAACCCAAGGGTACCGCCTTTCAACAAGATCCCGATGACGTGTCCGTCGACATCGACGATAGCTACAGCAAGAGACTAACCCTTCGTGGTCATAAAGACATTCGCAAAAGTACGTTTTTACGTGTTCCATCTCAAAAAATTTTAAACGCCCATACGATGGATTGAAGCTTAAAATATTTCCGAATTGGTTGGTTTATCAATTTGACCTGAATTACTTTCTCTCTTGTCAGATATGAAAGCATACGAGGGTACGTACACATGCGAGGTGGCAATGGAGCAAACTTTCCACGCGGCTTTCGCCGTGGCTAATGTGAGCTCGGCTATTCTGCCGCAGAGCGATCCTGTGCTCGAGGGACTCAACTCTCACTATCACGTAGGAGAATATCTCAACGCTGTTTGCACCACCGCTCCGAGTCTTCCACCTGCTGAAATAACTTTTTATCTAAACAGGCACAAGGTAAGTACGCAGCAGCTCATACTTTTCGCATGTGTTACGTGTGACAAATAGAATTTTATTCTGCAATTTTTTAATTATTCTCAAGATTTTTTGAAATAATTTCAATAATTTCAATCTCCCTGTAAATGTTGTTTTAACGTGTGCATTCCAGGTTGAATCAATACACGTAACGTATAACAAAAAATTATATCCAATCGGCGAGTCAGCAGTTGCACCATCGCAGGCCTCTTTATCGATGAGTCTTGATCGCAAACACTTCCCTGATGGTACTCTTACTGTTACTTGTAAAGCCACGTTACCCGGTATTTACGCGGCACCCGAGTATAAGACCGAACAACGTGCTACACTCGCCGCAAGTAATCAGAGGTTGGCACAAGACAGATTGTTTTTCAATAGTTCCGGCCAATTGAAAGTTAGTATGGTTGTTTTGTTAATTGAGATTATTGCCTATGGATTGTGAGTGGAATGGTGAAGAAATTTGAAATAATTGTATAAGAGAAATATAATCTCAAGACTTGATTTTTCACTGACGCACAATTTTATTTTTATTCAATTCATGTATAATTGAGATACATTTTGTATTTTTTTATTCATGGCATAATTTAACATTCAGATTGAAATTCATGACACATTCTAAGGTTTCGATTTTTTCATTAATTACATAAAAATAAAATAGCGCTGCCAGTCATACTAATACCTCGAAAAGGTTTTGTCAATCTCATTTATTTTCATTTGTATAAAAGCACACGACTTGCTCCGTGAATCTTGTAACTTTTTGTAAATAATGTACATAATACATTTGACCAAATGGACTAAATCTTTAGTCATGAGATGCTAATTATGGTTGACGTTGTACGCTTGTGTTTATATGTAGAAGAATGTTTGTAATGAATATAAAGCAAAAATAAAAAAACAAAATAAACGAGAATCAACGATGACCTGCGTTATTATCAAGGTGTTACAGGTAATGAATAAATAAATCAAAATATATTTTTTTGTGTTTGACTTTTCACCCATTCATATCCAGTTCTATTTTCAGATTATAATCAATTGGTTTATATTATTTTTATAAGCATTAAATACTTATTAGCTGCTGTAGTTATTATTTATTTATTAAAAAATTGCTTGTTTTAATATCATAAGAATCTTCAGATCGTATTAGAAAAAGGCAAGATAACAAGAGTCCTCCTGGTAGAATGGCTGCTACGTGCTCAAGCAACTCTTTAAAATCCTCCTACAAGATTTTCTTTGGAGCCATAAAAGTTTGCGTGACTACTCTCTTCAATCGATAACCGAAGTTCGTTTAGCGAGCTAATCGAGCTCCCGATAGTTGGCTTGTCGATAGGTCAGACTTTTTCCTTTGAAGGAGAAAAGAAAACTCAGAAGCACTTGAGTGCTACTCTGCAATATCAGAAAACGGTATCTAAAAAAAAAACAGTCAATCTTGCAAACGTTCTAATGCATCTTTTAATTCAATCTCGAAATAAGAAACATTAAAATTCGTTAGTGAGCAAACAAATGAAACTTGCTTGTTATAAAAGTTGTGCTACAAGAAGAAGATTAACCCGTATTTTCAAGTAGTTTAAAATCACAGTCGAAATTGACAATGCCTTTCGCTGTACTAGACACCGAGTTGCATCCTTAGAAAGTATTTTGCTAGTAATGTTTTCGGATCCATTCTCGGCCCTCTCTTTATTAAACACGTGACCTTGAAAGGCTCTGCCCTAAATGGCATTTCGATATACAGGCAAAGCACTAAATCTAGATACTGCTGCCTATTGCGAGTCACCTATACTTTGATGCCATTAGACCAGGGATAAAGGAGAAACAATGAATGCAGACAGGTCAGTGAATTGGTAGACAGTCGTTTGAAATAATATGAACAAGATGCAATAATAGCGAATGCCATTCGACTATTGAAACAGTAGTAGCTTAGTTGTAATATAAAACTATTCGAGGGTTTGAAATCGTTTACAATTGAATAGTTCAGCAAAGAATTCATACAAATTTCAAGTAATTCCAAAACTTTCAGCGTCAATTTGAATGATATCTAGTTTTATGATTTGAACGGCATTATATTAAAGTTGAGACATAAATGCCAATGGCTACGTGGACGTACGCATATGAGTTTGATGAAACGCTGAAGCACGCACTAAAATTCCCACGTAAACAGAACTAAGGATGAAATGACAGAGAGGATAGGCAGAGTGGTAGATCGCATGCGTGAGCATGCTTCTCTGATTCAGCCTCTAAATCGCGACAATGCTCTCTCGGTGCTTCTCGGTGCGCCTGTGAAATTCATGCGATCTCAAGCTGTTCTCTCGTTTGATTGAGATGCTTAAGTTTCACTGCAGGTAGAGCTCGCATTCAACAGTGTGTTGACGCCATCACCGTATGGATGCTTTGTCAATATTTCGGAAACGAGAGCAATATCTTTCACGCTTTTTATTCGAACAAAATTCGTTTACACAGCGTACAAGGCGTACATATTGAAGGCTCAAGCAGGCTTTTATTTAGAATCTTTCAGGCAGAAAAGTGGCCGATAATTTAAAATTAACTTCGGTAGGCTATTCAACGAAAGACTAGAAGTGTTTTACAAAAGTTCTTTAAAGAACGAAGTTGCTGCGGCAGTGCGATGTAACTGGAAAAATCGTGTTTATCAAGTAAAAAGGATCAAAAAAGAGCGCAGTGATGTGCATTCATCTGCCTCGCGCAGCGCAGCTGCATCGGTAAATTAAAAAGGTACTTAACGCCATTCAAGTTATACTTGCTGGGGAAATACCACCTCTTTCTTTCCGTATTGAAGACGTGTAAATCAACGGTACTGAATAGGCTGTAGCAGAAGAGGAAGTTTGCAAAACGGATTATAAATGGCGCGAAAGACAAAATAAATCCAACGGCACGCAGGTGATGAATGAACTGGAACATTCTGACCTCCATTGCACGGCTATTTTTTTTCAAAATGAAATCTGCAGTATAAAGTTTAATTGTCTTGCGTGGCTTGCTTTTGAAATTGCATAATAAAGTTGTTGGTACGCTCGCTAATGTTATTGCTGATAATTTTATCTGTGTTAACACGTTATTTTTAATGTAATCAAATTATCTAGCTCATTTCTAAAAATTTTCACTCAGCGAAGTTGAACTCTGTGTGAGAATAGAAATAACGTAAACGTTACTTTTTCATTCGTTTAACGCACATCGCTAGCCGAAAAATCACAAAAAGCATGAGAAATAAGTTGAAATGACTTGCTTGGACTGTGAGGTAGCACATTACAAATGCACGCAAAAATGTTCCTTTCCATTGAGTAAAGCTTCGAGCTCTCTTTCTTCTCTCTCTCTCTCTCTCTCTCTCTCTCTCTCTCTCTCTCTCTCTCTCTCTCTCTCTCTCGGAGTCGAGGACGTTTGAAGTTAGCTTCAGAGAACGTCCTGCTGATGATTAAATGTTCAAAGCTTGATGTAGCAGCTCTTGTACCGAATCAAATTCTCTAGCTAACGAAGTTTCAGTATACTCTCCGTGTACTTAACATTTTGTTCTCTACAACTAGAATAAATTTGTTTCTCAAATCACATTATTCTTATATTATTTCACTCTACTTTTCCATCAGCATTCCCGAAAAAAGGAGAGCTAATGCTTTTCCATAGATATTTTCTTCGAGATCCGACAGCTTCTATTTGTTATGTGGCATTCGCGCGTTACGTGAACGATAGTTGCGAACCTTCCCTCGTATCCACATATCCACGGTCGCTCGCGCGAATGAGAAAAGACGACAATGACGCTATAGACCATATGTGTGTATGTGTGTGAGTTTCAGGGATAATAGCGCTCTTGAGAGCCGTTTCGTCAATGACTTCTCTTGAGGAAAAAGATGGAGAGATGAACATATACTAAATTTTCCTCTTACTCATACGAACAAATCACAAATTTACTCGATTAATTTTACAAAATTATATAACGGTTGTCTCAATTTTATATTTGAAATCGTGAAAATGAACGAGAAACACCTTTCGCGGTATTTATCTTTACGATAATCCTCACATAATACATATACGAATGTATAGAACCCATTACGGATGCATTCTCTCGAAGCCACAATACGCACGCACACGCCCTCTTTCTAGTATATATTTTTCGACGGGCATATAGTCCTCATGAGAGCAATCGTGCATTGCTCGCAAGCGAGAACTGTCCTTCCACTTTAATGCCGTTCCATTATCATTCTCTCTCTCTCTCTCTCTCTCTCTCGTATGGCCCGTGTACATATATATGGGAAGCATCGATATACTGCTGCGTATATAGAACCAAAGAATGTATTTACAGTTGTGCGTGCGTGGCCGATGTTAACCTAATTGTTCGAGTGCTTCGTAGGTTTTGCCTAAAGAAAAGCGATGATGTAAACGCACGCGTGGATATATCAGTCAACTTTTTTCTCTTCGATCTTTTTTCTCTTTTAATTTCCTCGCAAATGAAGGATAGCCGTTTGCTTTTTTCTCATAATCTTTCACGTTCGAAGTCAGTGTTTTTTTCTCCGACTTACTCACGTTGAACGTATGATATAGGGATGTATACGTGGTTTTTTGTGGCACGGATTCAAGTTTTTTTTATAAGTGAATTTTTGTATTTATTCAATTGTTTTATCTAAGAGTCATTAGCTGACTGCTTTTCACATTTATCGTTAATGTACCACTATTTATTATACAGAAAAAAGAAGAATAGCAAGCTACTTACGCAGCTTTCATGCGTCATTGGTAATTAGCATCGGATAATTTTCTTTATTATGGAATTTTTTATACAATGATGTATTTTTATATTATATGAAATATTTTACATATAGCATTGAAAAATATCACTAACAATTTAATTTTTCAATATAATTTGAATAATATATTTTATTCATTGGCAAAGAAAATATGCTCGAATGAAGTTCAAATAATCTTTTACTGATATATTGAAAAATCTGATCAAGAGCGAATAATCAAGAAAGCTTGATTTTTTTATGAACATAATTATGTTATTTTCAAACTTTCATCTTTACCGTCTTCGTTATTTGAGCGTGCAATGATAATGGACCAAGCTTCTAAAATATTGGATTGGAAAAAATATAGGGTAACATAAAATTCAATGATAATAAACAATGCGAGTATCTGGATATAGTACGTCTGCGATGCTTGGTCTAAATTCAACGCAAAAGCTCGAGTGTAATATGATATTTTGTAGTGTTACGCAAATGATTATTAAATTATTGAATCTTGAAAGCACTAATTTATGGAATGAATCTCATTACAAGATTGACTTTTGCCCGCTTACTCGTTAAAACAAAAAAAAACAATATGACTGAGCTCTCAACGCAGCAATCAAAGGCGTCGGCGGTAATTAAAAATCAAGCCGCTCTCTTAATGCAAAAAATAAAATAATGAACCTAGGCAAGCTAAAGCACAAAACATACACATTCGCAAGGATTGATTGTCTCAAATGCAAATCACAATCGTATGTAGAGATCGCAAGAAGCAAGAAATGTAACGCCAGCGGCGATGTATACAGAAGCTGTGCTCGTGAAGACGGAGTAGCTCCGTCGCGTACTCAGCAAGAATTTTATTATCCTTGACACGCCGGAGGCTTCTTCCGAAACATAAAACCTTTCCATCTGGTATGTGTGTGCGTGCGTGCGTGTGTGCGTGTGGGTACGAACAAGAAAAGGATCGATGTCTCCTCACCTGCATGCTAAAAGTCACAGAGACGATGGCACTTCGTATATTGTATGCATGTATGTTTAAAGAAGGAGAAGCAAGCACGGAATTAAATTAAAGATGAAAGTTTTTGATGGTTCGTAAGTAGAGCAAACGCCATCGATCAGATATCGCTGCCACAGGCGGGACACGACGAAACGTTGACGGCAAGTTTTGGCATTAATTTATGCAGGAATAGCTGCTGTCGGGCCGCCGCACTAAG